AACTTGACTAGTTTGCAGAAACACACAGTCATGAGGTGGTAACACTAGTTTGTTTTATGCAGCACTGAATCTAAATATAATTCAAGAAACATCCGCCTGTGTCTCTGTTCTTTGCATATTTTGATAATCGAACATCTGATCAGCTTAAAACTTGTTGCTAAAGACCTCGAGAACCCAAAAAGATCCCAAAACTGCTGCACTTCCTCAGTTCCCAAGTGATACACCTGATAACTTTAAAGTAGAATAATCATACACTAACTGCTCCTATAATGAACCTTAATGTAAATTCCCTCATTCTCCTGTTGACCAGTGAACAGATGCGTAAAGGAATGTGCTGTATATCTTATCATCTTCCCTTAAATCGTCAATCAGAAGTAAAATACGGCCTCCTTAACTAAACGTTTGTTCCGTTTCCTTCCGTCCTGTCCTTCAGTTGCTTTAACCTTTTTGCAAATGTCAGCCGCCACATCTATAGATCACTTAGGAAGCTAAAACAGTAATTTACAATGTTCATTCTGGAGCGAGGACAGGCATCTCAGGACCACAACACAGTTGCCAAGCCGGCTCGTAACGCTCAGCTTGTGCACGGATCAGCTTTCATGCACCGACACGACTCATCCTCACATATCTGCTCCGACCACACCTGTTATCTGGACCACAGTCATGCTGCACCGCTCCACAGGTTCGCCTACAACCTGCACCGACCGCACGGAGCCGAAGCCCGGAGAGGTACAGCGTCGGATCAGACAGAGTTTCCAGCAGATTTGAAATATGAAGCAGAGGCAGTTATTTATCAGACACTCGGCCAAAAAGTATTTTTAGCCACAAGAGCCGGTCAGTCTGACAGATGTAGCTCCTGGTTGGAGTTTGTTTATGTGTAAATAACAACAACCAGTGAGTGCAGACTGGTAGAGTCACTTTCCATCGCTCGCTGGGCGGTCGATGGGCTACTGTACACTCAGTCTGGTCAGCAAAACAAATAGCTGAAGTGAAAACTGAACTTTGTGGCACCGCAGACGGACTGAACATATAAAAGTTACTAAAAAAAAAAAAAGGAGGGGACTTGTTTACTGTTAAAAAAGTCAACAAATTCAACGGCATGACAGCGAACAGGAGGCATTATGTTTGGTCTCAAGTCATATTAATGTTAGTTTAAAGTTATTAGCAATGAGCACAAGAAAGTGATTTTTTAAAAAACGCTCTGTTATGGAACATTTTTGCTTTTTTTGTGAACTACTGATTATTTCTTCATCTCTTTTGTCCTGTAAAAAGACTTCTTATGACACGATTTAAGACAAAACAAACTGTATAGTCTAACCTTTTCCAGCTTGCATTAAGGTTATGACCTGATCTGAAATGAGACACCACAAATTGATATAATGAGGGTTAAACACAGCGGGGAGTCCCTGATTATAATAACTCAAAACAGACACAAAGCAATAGTGGTGTGTCACTGGTATATTCGCGTCCTTATGAAAACACATGAGGTTCCACGAGCTCATCTATCCAAATGATGCCCCACCAGCTGCTAGCCGTTAAAAGGGAAGCGCTCTCACACAGACCAAAATAAAAGCCAGGTGATGAGTGGCTCCTGTCAGGACGGGATCTGGTGTACCTCTATGAGGGCCTGCAGGTTGTCTGTTTCCACGCAGGAGAAGTTGAGCAGGAAATCCCGGCGGGTGTCCTGCAGCTGCCTGTGCTTGCCCTGTTCCAGCGGAGCCTCCAGGGCGCGAAACACCACGGCTCCCAGCACCAAGTAGAGAAGCACCCCCGTGAGGATGGCGAGCAGAGTGGAGCAACGCATGGCTACACCTCCGCCCAGTCCGAACGCAGACTGCTGCTTCTCTATGTCAGCCTCAGCGCTGGTGTGGTCCGGATCCCAGCTGCTGCAGCTGAAACATCAAACAACCACACACATAGGTTTCCACGCTGACCACAGCGCCTGACAGCAGCCCAGCAGGAACACACGCCTGCAGCCGGCGGCCTCTTAGCTGCACGTCGGCCAGTAAGTGGACTCTGGCCTCACCGCACTGCTGACACACGCTGAATGCAGCATCCAGGATAAAAAGCCTTCCATCTGACATGACTTAGTGTCTGAACAGATGTGACGGCATGACTGTGAAAGTAAATGATCCATGTCATGAGTACATGCAACCACAACAACAGCTGAGCTCACCTGTCAATCCGCCTCAGTTGCCCACGCCTTCGTCTCTTCCAGTCCTTCTTTGCACCAGGTCTGAGGATTGAGTCCCTGGATCCGTAGCCACTGGGGAGCCCGTCCCCCTCACACTCTGAAGGAGGGGACACTAAACGCACAGAGGCACATTTTCAGTGCGTTTATGTAACAACAACACATTTCACTTTATGGAAGCCTTAAAAGCTGGCGAGGAGAGTCAAGGACAGGCAACAAGGTGAAGCTGTCAGGCGTGGCAGTGCAACACAGAGTCCATCGTGTTGTTTTCTTGACCCATCCTGTAAAAACATGCACCATATAAGCCATTAGTGTGCAAGGATTTGAACTCTGGATGAAGAATAAAGGGGGACTTCCAGCCCTGGGTGTTGGCAAATACGGATTTATTTCCTTTTGTTGGTGCTGATGGAGCAGAACTACGTTACAGTGCAGGTTTGATGTGATGATGTTGTGTCATTGTTGGCCCAAAACGCCTTTCTCATTTAAAGCTGAAATTGCAGCCTTGGCTCTGCATCTTTACCTTGTTAAAGCAGTGGACTTAAGAAAGTCAAAGAGGTCTCAGACGCTCCCTATTGTGCCGGAAATTCAGGAATGATTTAAGAGGGAAGGGATTCATCATTCGGACCAGTAGGCCTGCCACTTCCAATTCATTTTGCATCACTGGGCTGCAAAAAAAAAAACACACAAAAAAACACAAGCTCCCTTCTTCTAAAGTTCGGTGACTGCGGCTCTTTAGTCAGCAGATCTGCTGGTCTTGATCCAAAATTAGAGCAATAAACTGTCACACAGTGACAGAAAAAATATACACTTGCTCTCCAAACTGTTTTACAGCTGCTGGGAAAACACAAAGGGACGGTCCACTTACTGAATTGAACACAACCACAAGTTGGCAGCATATAGAGCTCATATTAGCACGAAATTACTACCGTGTAAAACAACCATGAACGACCAAAATACAACAAAATGTGCTCTGGTGCATGTGAATAAGAATGCACATGTAGGTAATAGATTACTTCAATACATTACTGAAGCACGTTTTGGTCCAACTACACAGTGAAAAAGAGAACCTGGAGTGTTATCTGCATGAGCTGAGCAGGATTCATTACAATAACCAGCTAACATGCAGCTCATCTACGGTGTACACACCTCAGACCGTAACACAAAGTGCCAGAGTGATTATGCACCACTTGACCAAAGGAAATAGTAATATGCCCTGCATTAAGTGCTGCTGCAGCAGCCGAAACATAGCCATCCACTTTATTACCACTTAGAGTCCCTTCGGGTCCATAAGATTCATGACACTGACCGACACGCCAGACAGTCCAGAGAGTCCAGACAGTGTGTGCTTACCTCAAAATGAAGAACCATACGAATCCAGAGTCCCAGTCGCCTCATGCGGAGTGTTTCATGGGTTCAAGCAGCCGCATACAGGGAGTGTGTGTGTGTGAGTGTGTGTGAGGAGGGAGGCTGGTGCTGAGAGGAAAAGATACTCAGTCAAACTGACTTTATATAGAGAGTGAGAGAGTGAATTAAAGAGAGAGAGAGAGCAGCTCCTAGAAGCTGGAGATGGTGATAAAGCCAGATTTTTCATTAATTTGGCTTCTGTTGGGGTTGTTTTTAAATAAATAAAATTTTCAGATGGATTTTCTCAGAAGCACATAATGCAGCTTCTTGTGTCACTTCATCGGTTAAATCTGATTTTCTCCTGTCAGTTGGTGTCAGTATGTATGTGCAAAGTGCAGCCGTGGCTGGAGGCGTATATTCACAGCGGTCGGCATCTGTGTGTGTGTGTGTGTGTGTGATCAGTTTTTGACATTTATTGAGGTCTGATTGGTGTTTCTCTGCCGAGTCTGCAGAGCTCAGCCAGACTTCACCCAGCCCTCGATATCCCATCTTCCTCACAAGCAAGAACTGCTGCTACTCCCTCTGTGTGTGTGTGTGTGTGTGTGTGTGTGTGTAGGGGCGTGAGTTGTAATGCAGCTCCAGGAGACTGAAGTGAACCCTCACACATCAGAAGTAAGTGGGTCAAGGCGTTGCTGCTGCAGAATACACACTTTAAAGTTTAATGTTGTTGTCATGGGATTAGTTACCCACATCGGTGCAGACCGGGTGGTCGATTGAGGTTCTGCTTAAGGGTAGAAATTATAATGATATAGTTTAAATAGTAATAGTAATAGAAACACAAAATCCCATCTGGTTTGAGTTTAGAGACACTGTGGGTTTTCTTCACTGGGACAATCATGTAGGGCTTTTCTGCCACAGCTTACTGACCAAGAAGCAGAGTGACAAAATGCTGCATCAGATGATCTGACCTCCAAAATCAAGTGGTATAAAACCAACTGAGGTGATTTGCAATTGACACAAATGAGAGAAAAGCAGTCAACAAGTGTTCAAAATATATGCAAACACTTTCGAAGACCTCATGACAGAAATGGAAAAAACTGAAGAAAAACTCTCTCTGGTCAGTTTTTATTTGACCAGTTTTGTTTCTCGTTCTGAAGATGAGATAAACAACTGACGAATGATACAAAGACATTGTGATAAATCCATCCATCCATCCATTATCTATCCACTTTAATCCTCACCAGGGTCATGGGGGGCTGGAGTCTATCCCAGCTGACTCAGGGTGAAGGCAGGTTCACCTGGACAGGTAACCAATCTATCACAGGGCTACACTTAGAGACAGACAACCAAGCACACTCACATTCACACCTACGGACAATTTACAATCACCAATTAACCTCAACATGTTTCTGGACTGTGGGAGGAAGCTGGAGAACCCGGAGAGAACCCACGCTGCACGGGGAGAACATGGAGACTCCACACAGATGATAGATTTTAAAGTCCCCTCTATTGATTTAACCTCTAAAAACTCATCTCTGCAAATCAAATGACATATTCAGCCACATATTTATCCGTGATGTAACTCCACATTGTTGCTTCTCCATCCGACCCTCCACACTCACTACAGCTCGAGCACACCAGCTCACCTACAGTTCTACTCCTCTACAAGACCGGTACCTTAGGTTTGTTACCGAACTTGAAATAAAAAAAAAAATACAAGGATAGACACAAATTTTATGTACATTTTATGATTTAATGAACACTTTGCAGTTGCTAAATGACTAAAGACTGTTTCATTATTATCAGTATGAATATTTAGAAATTATTTTATAAGTAAAACTTTATTATACAAACTACTTAATTGTGTCTATGTTCTTTTACTAATAAGTAAAAAAAAAGAAAGTGGTATTCTTTTCGTTGCTGCGATAAACACACGGCACAGATAGAACACTGAGATTACAGAGCCAAGCTGGCAAATACCCAGCATGCCTCAGTGCTGCTCAGTCAGGGCCAAACAGATCAAATACATCCGTCTGTCGCTCAGCTGAACGAGGCTTTCAAAGGAAGACACAAACAGGAATTCTACGCCGAGCTGCTTGACACGTTTTGTAAGTTCAGGTAATCTCCTAATACGTGTCATCAAAATAGTTTCAGGATCAAACGCTTGAATTTGAATCACAGCAGTTTTGAAAAACAAAGCGACCGCCTTTGACTGGATCAATGCTTCTAACCACAGAGGATATGAGGAGTTTTTTGTTGTTTGTTTTCCTCCCAGCTGCACACGAGATGATCAATCAATTACCAGTCAAACACATTGAACCCAACATATCCTCCATTTAATGTGGCTCACTCTAACCAGAAGTTATTTTAAGTCCTCAAAGATTAGTGAATCCTTTTATGGTGACCTTGGACTGTGCTTCCACAGTCCAAGTTCCTCTCTGACTAATAACTCTGTTCATCCTTCTTATCCTGATATACTGCCTTGGCACAAGTTGCAGGTTTCAGCCTAGAAAGCCTCACACAACCGAACAGAAATGTATTCTTCTGCTCTACAGGAGAGAAAGAACAGACTTCACATCTGTGCAAGAAGGCGAATTATAGGATAGTTGACCGACGCATAAGACCATCAAACAAGTGTGCTGCTGGATTAATGTGCAGGTGAAGGTAAATCAGTACAAGTTGTGTTTGTTTGTGCATTCTCTGCCCATAAAGTGAGAGAGAGGTGGTGTTTGTGGGAGAAACCATAAAAGGGTGTAACAGAAGAGCCGGTTCTTGGTTTCAGAAAGACTCACATTAGCTCGCTGCTGTGGTGGTCCACGGTTAGTGTGGTGACCACTCCAATATGAAGAAACACTTCCTCAGACTCTGGCTCTTACCAGCACAACCAAAGTCATCCTTTTTTTTTTTGCTGTCAAAAATACCACCATAGAGTTCAGTGTTAAATATTTTATCACTAAAAGGAAGAGAAAGGGTATTTCAGAGTATCTGTGTCTGTCTGGACAGAAGCATCAGCCTCAGCAGGGGAGCAACAGAACGAGGAGGCAAACGTGACCCACATGTGCAGATTTTGGTCACTAATTCAGCACAAGCTAAGGGGCAGAACAAGATATGTTCACGTTTGTGTTCAAATCATTATGAGCATTTATGCTGGTTTGAAGCTGCAGTTACACCATTAAAACAAAAGTTTACAAGAGTTCCTTAATGCACGTAACATCCTGTTAAAGCAGAAGCTAATAAATGCTGACCAACAGTTAATTTTAGGAAAATGCTGCAATGCAGAAAAGAGAGAAGATATCAGACCTATAGAGTCAATACACTGATTAGTGGAGCTGTGAGGAATGAGAGAATGCCCACGGCCACACTGAGCAGAATACTGGCATCGGTGTTTGCATCATGAGAAGACAGAATCAAATACAGCTTATTGTGTACATATTACACTGAATAGTTAACTCTGTGTAAACCTACAGCCGTGTTCAGATGGTGTATTACTGCCAAACATAAGAACAAGAACAAGAAGGTGCACGTCAGGCTACGGCACAGCTGTAACTATGGCACAGAGTCAATGCAGAAGTATAATTTTTTTGTTTTCACAGCTCTACTAATCCATGTAATCAGCTGTGATGACGTTTGGGGAACGTCTCTGCTGGTGCAACCATCAAACCATAAACATGACTTGATTCGGGAGCATCCACGCTTGAAAATTTTTCTCATCTTTCCTCTACATACAAACTAACATAACAGACCCAGAGTTCAGTTTCACACAGCATGGA